TTCGGTCAAATTATCCTTAGCCTTCCTTTTGGCACTGCTACGCATATTCTGTCTATTAGGCCTCTTGATATCACACTCGTGATTATGTTCTAGATTACTTCTACTACTACTTTCGTGAATATCTTCGCTTTACACGACCGTTTTACGCACCTCCAATACGTTTCTCCCGATTTTAGTACTTTATCTTGAGAAAAAGTAAAACTGTTCACTTTGAGCAAAATTTTACCACGATTACTTACTAAAGTTGAAATTTCCATGTTCACTTTTCACTATTCTCTGACAAACTAGTAACTAAGTAAATTTCAATGACCATCATTAAACCCTAATTATATCTAATATCTGGTACCTGCGATAATCCTTCCGGCAGCGTCCAAAACAAGGGTACTTTTAAGAACCTCAGGTACTTCAGCGTCGAAAACATGCCCGCCCCTTAGTGGAGCCACTCACGGCATCAGTTCAAATGAAATTTGCACTACTTCTAATAGTAAAGAATTTGAGACAATCGAACATATTTTATTTAATTGTCCAATTTATGCGTCAATGAAACCTGAAAGTAAGGACTGTTTATCCAGTTTAAATAACTTTATTCTTTCTCTTTACAATCCAGTACATGATTCGCTAAAGCAATTTTTAATTTTATCTCGAGTGTGCTTAAGCTCAAGGCATTTATAATCAATTAATAAAATAGGTACTTTATTCTGTATTGTAAATCTTGTTATTGTATAGTTTTGTTCTTTATTTTTTTGGATTTCCTATATTTGTACGTTTGTTGTGTAATTGTACTACTCTTTCCATGTAACTATGTCATTAAAAGCAATAAAGTAAATAAAAAAACAGTTTTATCCTCTATCAAAAATAAATATTTTCTTTTACTTTTAAATTTTCATTTATTTACTTTCAGTAAATAGAGACAATTACTTTTAATAACATTAGAAAGCGGATAAGTTGTAATGTCCATAAAAGCTGTAATTATATAGTGATTAATACAAACAATAAATAGAAAGTGCTATGTAATAATAGGTTTTAGCCCCTCCCACTACTAACAATTATTAGAGAATTAGCTGAAGAAGTGAGATCTTTGACAGTATACATAAATTTAGTTTAAAAGTGTTAACAGTGACGATCAGTACTACTAGTGTTGACCTAAGCTAAAGTTACGTGTTTTCAAATAGTGTTTTGTGAGGATTGTTAATATGGCTAGTGTAAACAAAACCAATGTGGATAAGAAGTTATTAGGTATGTCTTTTATCCACAGACGTAGTTCCATACCCGTAGTGTTTCAACCGAACAAAGCCTTTACGAAAAACCTGTTATATTATTATAAAGGTCCATCGTTTTTCACCAAGGCACCTACCTACATTAATAGACGATTAGTGTATTCCCAAGTTCCTTTTTCCGAGACAACGAAAAATAAGCTAATGAAAGTGCCATCGAAAAAACTAATGCATCTATCTGCCGCTTCAAGAGTTAAACAAAATTCATCTGGGAATCTGCGACCCCGGCAAGCTGTATGTACCGGTATTCAAGATTTCAAAAAACTTCGTCAAAGTCATCAGGCGGCTGTTATTAAAACTGAAGATTTGATTCAAATAATTACTAACATATTAAACAAAATTTCCGCGAATCCTAATAGCGGTCGTATTATGGATAAGCCTGTCACGCGCGATATTGCCGGCCCATCAGGTATTCAGATTATTGCACCTGAAAAGATTAATCGTAAATGCCAAGGCAAGCTGAAAAATCGTAGAAATAAGAGCAAACAAAACTTGGACAATCAAGTGCTAGATTTTTCAATTAAACGCAATATCAGAAAACCTTCAAAAACGGTAATAAATAGTGTTGTTGTACATAAACTTGTAAATCCAAAACAAATTCTATTAGTTAAAAAAACTTCAAAAGTGACGCCTTCTAGTGAGGACGATTATATCAGCGGTTTAAAACAAGTTTACATCTTACATGAACCAATACATAACGATGTGGACATTTGCGAAAATATGGACGATGAAATATCGAACAATTTAAACGAATTAGAATTAGTGAAAAGTGACGAACTTATTGATTTATCCATATTAATAAACAACTCGAATCAAGAAAATGAATCTGTTGCCAGCGTCACATCCGAGACTGTAAGTAGTACTTTAATTGTTGATTCTGAACAAACACTTTTACATAAAGAGGCAAACTATTGTACACCAATTCTTCAATCGCCTGATCTAAAGTTTTACAATCGTGAGTCTTCTGAAGATGATTTTGACGAACCATCTAATGTCAAGGAACAATTCGATTTTACTAGTGATCCGGTGACAAGTACTACTTCGTCGGTAAAATTTACAGATAATACCGGTTCCGAAGCAATAATTCCACCAATTGGTTATGAAAAAGCTGCTAGTAAAATTATCTTTAAACCTGTAAGTACTATTTCAAATTTAAATTCTGTACAACCTGTAGCTACTGAAAACCAATGTGCTCCAATTTATTTCAATTCTGATGGATCCACTAAAGAACTGTCTTGTCCAGTAAATTTTATAAGTAAAGAGAGGTTTCGCAAGTCTAGATCGACAAAATTAGTTGTATCTTCGAACGAACCACAAGAAGTTGACGAATTAGTAGATATTCGTATACCTCTTAATGCTTTAATTAAACAGCGATTACAGTTATTATTGATAAGTAAAAAATCTTTAAAGGTAACAGCAGCTAAAAGTGGAAAAGAACTACCGTGTTTGAAAATGAAGGACCTACCTAACTATTTTCAATCTCTTGTTCTTCAAAACCATCATCTTAAGAAACAGTATGAACAAACCGGTGATCATACAACTTTGATGGTCCATAAAAAAGTACTTAAAGCTGTTGAAGATGAACTTCTCTGCGTCGTGGAGAATTGTGTCAATGATCGAGTAGAAATAGAAACTCAATTAAGTGACTCACTTTGTGTTACCATAAATGAACTCTACAAAGAAATCGAAGCCGTGTATCAAGAGAAGTATAGACAGTTTTCTCAGATACAACTAGTGGATGTAAATCAACAAGTAGTGCGGATTTTGCTGGATGCTTATAAGCTAAAAATCAGTGAACTTGTGTTTGCGAAAGAAAGCAATTCGGTGGATAGAATAAGCGATCACACAAAGTTTCTTAATTTGTGTTTAACCAAATCTAATGGTGTCAGTCTTTATCATGCTAAAAAAACTGACAATTGGAGTTTCTTTTCCAATTAAGTGAATTGTTTTTGTAAAAAATTATTATGCACAGTTCTTGTGTTTAAATTGTTATTAATTCTTTGTATATTTTTTAAATTTTACAACAAATGTTTTTTTTTTGATAAAATTTTTATATTTTTCAAGATGTTGCATATGGAGGTTTTGTATATTCTAGAAATAAGCACAATTTAACATTGGAATTACTTTTTTGACGTTACGCCATCAAGTTTAACAACGTTTTCAGAATAAATTTTTTATTTTGAATTGAATATTACCTCGTCAAAAATAGTAGTTTCAATGTAGTAGAGTTGTAGATAATCTTTATATTATTTACAAAAATTGTCATGTATTGTAAAAGTTTTGTAGATTAGTAGTTGTATAAGTGTATTAAAACATCTGATGCCAAAGTTATTCTAAAAATAGGAATCATTTTGTAAATATTTCTTTGTAAAATATGTTAGTATTTTGTATTAGTATTAATTTCATTATAAATGGCGCAATTTATACTATATTCTAAAACACACGTTCTATCTAATTATTGTAATCTTTTGCTTTTGTATTTCTTAACTTTTTTGTATTAATAAAAATGATAAAATAAATTACTTTACAACAAAGAGTAGTCTTTGTCTTCTGCTAAAATTATTTGATCATCGTCTAATAAAAGGTATTGATATACTTGTCGTCAATTTTTACTCACCTCTGCACATTTTTGTTCCAGTTTTTTTAGTGTTTCATCTACAGTGTGTCAATTTTAAAACTTACAATGGGCTATATCTTACGAACAAAACTGATATCGAAAAATGCTTGAAACTGTTTCTATGATAGTAAGGGGAAAGTAAAATGAAATGAAAGAGAACTCACCCTCTAGGCCCCACCCATCACAAACAAAAACGTTTAAATTGCAAACCTACTTGTGATACATCATTGAAAAGACTACAAAAATGCTATCCAATGCTATAAATAATAATTATATAAGGTGAAGCAATAACTCTGAAACTGGCTTAAATATAAAATTTAATGATGTTTTTGTTAACTACAAATTTGTTAAAAATGTCAATTAAGTAAATGTTTAAAGTGGGTTCCGCTGTTTTGTAAACAATAATACAGCGTATTTTCGAATTCTGCACGAAGTTTGGCAAATGTTGTTCTAGTAAATAGCGCGATATGCTTGCGTAATAATTCTTTTTAGCAATTTCCCAAGTGACGCAGGTTGAATTTTATAAACAATTGACTTAAGACAACCCCATAGAAAAAAGTCAGATGCCGGTAAGTCTGGTGACCTCGGTGGCCACTCAATAGGACCTCTCCTTCCAATCCATTTGTTCGGAATTAGTATTCAACCAGTGCCTAACTGGAGCTGCGTAGTGAGGAGGTGCTTCATCTTGTTGGAACCATTCAGTGAAAACATTCAGTTTTCCAGGATATTGAGTGTGACCTTCTCTGAATCGATGCGGGTTCGCATCACTCCAGTACCGACAGTTTTGTTTATTTACATTACCATTCAGCATAAAAGTACATTCATCAGTAAAATAAATTTTTCTTAACATTCTCGTTTCGACGCGAATTCTTTCAGTAATGAGTTCACTAAACTCAATTCGTCGGTCTGGATCATCATCGTCTAGTTCTTGAAGAATTTTGTGTTTTATACGGATTAAAGTTATGTAATTTCAACACCTGTCTAACCGACTCATGTGAAAGTCTTGTCATCGCAGATACTTGACGCAACTAATATTCATTTATAAAGAAATTGTATTGATTTTTAGTGCTGTATAGTAGGCTAGTTAAATGACGAACTAATTTTTTTAGGATATGATATACTTGGAAAAGAGGCAATATGGTCTTGTCTAGGTCTAGTTAACGAGAACCCTGTAATGCTAAGTTCCAAACAATTTAATGGATTTTATTTGTCCATAATTTTTTTCCATTATGACATGTAAGTATAAGAATAGACATAAGATTTACATGACTTAACTGTTACCTGCAGTAAGTCTATTTCTTTAATGGCATGTTTCATAAGAGTGTAGTTTATTCAGATTGTAGAGTACAACGATCAGAACGATGCACTTCTCGGTGGCGATCATCATGGCAATCTTTATCTTATCTGCAGCAGCGTGGAAAATCTGCACAGATGTTGTACTGAACCAAATTCTGAGGTTCTTTAACCAAGATGTTTTTCTTCTTCCTGGACCTCGCTTTCCAAATATTTTTCCTTGCAGGATGTCCTGAAGGAGAGCATTTCGCATGAACTCTTAAAAGTGAGATACGAAGGCATCAGTTCTCTAATTAAGCTTTTTAAATATGTTAACTTGTGAAATACCTGACGAAAGGCTCAAGCCTGTTTTTATAACACTTCTGAAGAAACAGCAGGCAACAAGCTGTGATGAATACAAATAACTTGAAGACGAGGAAAAGAAGGTTAAATATTCAACGCGATTTTTAGACACACCCCAATTGGACACAAAATACGCAAAGGTAGACAGTATGTTATTACTGAGAAACTCTTGTAATATCCGTATAAGTTTCAAAAGTTTTATAGAATGAATACCGGTACGTTCCTGAATCTGTGTGATCTGCCTAAGAACCACTGTACAATCAAGGACAGCAGATGGCGCGAATAAGTTACGGTACAAGTGAGGCTAACTATATTTTTACGATACGTTTGTCAATAAAAGATCTTTGTGTTAAACTATGATTGCATATACACCTTGGTTTAATTTACTATTTGAAAGGGATTTATGTTACGATTTCCGCATGCGCGAACTTAATTTGTCAGGGACATACCACCCAAAACTCCGATAGATCGGTTCAGCGTGACAAATGCTATTGACACATGTCAATCGCATGTAAATGACACCAAGTTTGGCTACTGGGATTCACTTGGTACGCTAAGGCTCTTTTTGCCTTAAATATACGCCCCCAAAAGTGCCGCGACCAACTTATAGATATTTATGTAGCTTTTATTGATTACTAAAAGAAGTGGATCTCAACATGCATGTCGCTAAGACAAAAGTTATAATAGTTCAGCCTCTAACCACACGACAGTGCTTCTCTACAGATAGATCGACAAAACATTGAGAGTTGGCCAATTTAAATATCTGTGATACTACGTAACAGAACAACTGAACCCAATTAAAGATGTCAAGGGCCGAATTCAAGTAACTTGACAACGTTCCTGAAAATGAACTCATTTTTCTGTAACTACAACTTAAACCTAAAATTGCGTCAAAGAATGATCAATATCCATATTGCTATATTTGGTCTGTGTTGTTTTATGGCATCGAAATCTGGAGTCTAAAGGCTGATATGATCAATGGCCTAGAAGCGTTCGAAATATGTTGCATAAAGGAATGTCCAAAATACCCTAGGCATATATACAGACCAACGAAGCAGTATTAAATAGAGCAAATGCCGTTCGTAAATCATTTAGAACTATTAACATAAGAGAAATATACTAGGAACATACAACCTATGTCTACTCAACACCGGCTTTTATATACACCAGACACCCAATACAACTTCAGCTTGGAATGAAATGTAAAATTGAGTATCGCAGAGGAATTGAAAAGAAGCAAATGTAATATTTAGAGAACATTTACGATTGGACAAGAAAATAGAATGTCGACACTATTTCGACTGGCTGAAAATCGCGAACAATTCGCCAATATAATGCCCAACATTAGAAACATCTAATATGACACCGAAAGAAAAAGCTATCTAGAATGAGTGAATTTTCCCTTAGACCCTTATGGCTTAAATTTGGAACCTTCGCTAAAGATTTTTTATAGAGGACATTTTATAGATATTTCCATGTGCCTATTCTTAATTCAACTTTGAGGGTATACAAGGCAACTATCGAACACGGTGATTAATTTAATCTTGTCCAAGTACTTTAGACCAATAGATCATCTTCAGGGGCATTTCGTCAGTTGTGGCCTATCCGACATAGTAGAATGTTATAAATGTAAAATTTGGACATAACAATACAAAATACAATACACTAAGACAAACAAACACTTTAAAATTTTTTAAGGAGAAACTACATGTTGTATAGAAGCCGGGGACAGAATCTATGTCGGATAGGCCACAACTGACGAAATGCCCCTGAAGATGATCTATTGATCGAAAGTACTTGGGCAAGATTAAATTAATCACCGGGTTCGATAGCTGCCTTGTATACCCTCAAAGTTTAATTATTCGAACATTCAACCTTATATTCTTAATTCATCGTTTCTTTTTAACGTGAAATTATCGTCATTACGTGAAGGTACATATAAGAAAACTTGAATAATCTGTTTATTATTGAGAATATTCCACACGTTGGTCGCTCGGTTATTCTTCTTCTTCCTATGTGTCCCCATTAACGGAGGTTGGCGACCACATTTCTAAAAGTTTCTTTCTTTCTTGCAACGTGGAATAAATCATCTACAGTCATGTTTGTCCAGTCTCGAATATTTCGCAGCCATGACTTCCTCTTTCTACCTATTCCCTTTTGGCCATCGACTCTACCCTGCGTGATGACCTGCAGAAGACTATATTTATAGTCACTCAGTATGTGTAAGGTATGCAGTCTTGCGTACTTTTATTGTTTTCAACAATTTTTTGTCTCGACCCATCCTTCTCAGCACTTCCTCATTGGTGATCCTGGTAGTCCATGGAATTCTCCGGTATATCCAAAGTTCAAAGGCTTCAAGCTTCTTAACTATTTGCGCAACGTCCATGTTTCTAGCCCGTACAGTAGTTGGGACCAGACGTAACATTTAACAAACATCAATCTCAGCGCAATATTCAGATTTTTGTCACAGAACAATTGCTTGAATTTTAAGAACGCTGCCCTTGCCATTTCTATTCGTACTCTGATCTCTTGGGCTGGATCTAATTCTGTGTTGATGTAAGCTCCTAGATATTTATATTTTGTCACTCTCTCTATTTGCTGTCCACCAAGGGTTAGTTGTTCATTATTTATTGCACTCCTTGATACTATCATAAATTTGGTCTTATCTGTGTTGATGTCAAGCCCCATTTTAATGCATTCACTATTTATTGCGTCTAGTAAAGTTTGTAGTTCTTCTATACTCTCAGCCATAATTACCGTGTCATCTGCAAATCTCATGGTGTTTACGATTTCTTCACTAATTTTTATTCCCTCTTTTCTTTTCCATAAGGCTTTTCTGAATATAACCTGTGAGTACACGTTGAAAGGCGTCGGAGACAAGACGCATCCTTGTCTGACCCCTCTCGCTGATTCTGTTATAAGCAATATAATATTCTAATTATTTGTGTAAAAAACATGAGATTGATATTGATTTAACTATATAAATTATTTTTCTACGCCTTTTTTTTTTAACCCTATACACTTTTAAGCCTTTCTGTGCACCCTGAAATAACGATGGAAATTAATCAAATTCGAGATAGATATATAGAATTTTTGGAACTGAATGCAAGAGTTATATTGTGTACCAAAGGCGAACCGATGGATATTTACGAAAGAGCCAAGATGTTGCGCAATTCGCCATTTTCAAATGTAGATATTCCATTGATGGTAGATGATGGTGGTGTTTTGATGAAATCTGTTTTTAAAGTGTGTCCAAAAAACTGCAAGTGTGACATAAAGTAAGTTCGCTTTCGATTTTATTACTACATTTGTTAGGTCGGGTGGTTATTTTTATCTTTATTCACATTTAATCACCAATGAATGCATTACTTTATTAAAATAAATAATTACTTTAATATGATAAATACGTACAAAATCTGTTTATAACGAAATTGGATAATTTCAAATTAATAAAAAATGTTTTTGGGTTAAAACTCTGCCTGGGGATTATATAATATTTCCCCGGTATTTAAATATTTCGAAGGTTTCTATCTGCTCTCCATTGGTAATGTGTGTTGTTCGACTAAACAACATAAGCTTGGTTTTAACTACGTTTATATTGGGCTCAAAAATTGTATTTAATGGTACTCCATTTAACTTAATGCCGTAATCCACCAGTTCTTCTAATGCTTCTTAAATACTTGATAATAATAAAGGTTGCAGAACAGAGGTGTTAGTATACATCCCGCCGAACCCCCGCAGTCGTCTGTTATGGAGTGTCCTGCTCATTGGTTTCAATATAAATTATTTATTTTATAATTCGAATATTCTTTCCATTGACTTTCCAAACATTCTCAGTTTATGATGCTTGACTCAGTAAAAAGCTTTCTCATATTCAATGGCATAAACAAATTGAAACGAATAAAATGTGTGAATTGACAAAGTTCAGAAGAACTGAAAGAGAAGTGATGGAAAAAAAAAATACTAAAAATAGGGCTAAGCTCAGAGGAACAAATTTAAATGGCCAAAGAGACACTAAATCTCAAGTGAGTGTTCGGGCTAGCTTCAATGCACTGGATTGTGGCTTTAAAGATTTAAACAGATAGCAAGGATACTGAGCTAATGAGACAAGAAACGAAATGAGACCTGGTAATATCAAACGTGATACAACTAAAGAAGGTCACTGGGAATAAATTTATAGAAAGAGAACAATAAGAAGAGAAAAGAAGGGCGCCAACTCAACGATAGTTGAGATTTTGAAGTAACAAATGAATCTGGAGGTAATACTCTGAAATACAAAAATACTAAATATTAATCTTGTTTTGCTATGTTATATACTGGTTAGTAGAACTGAAATAAAACTCAAAATAGCAACAATAAATATATTTATAAACAAATGTATATAGGTATATGTGTATAAACAATTTACATATAATGCAAAGCCAAATAACAGTGGTAGTGGATGGTGCACAGATACAATAGGACCTAATAGCCCCTCAACAAATGAATAGTCACTACCACTGGCCAAATAAAATATGAAATATTAGTATACAACAAGAATAGTCCGTAGGGTAGCCAAAGTCTTAAAACAAAAAGGTAGTCATTTAAATTTAAATTAGTTCTACTAAAATGAGGTACTAATGACAATATTGTAAAGATATCAAACTTGATAAATCTCTATTACAATTATATTAAATATATATATTACATCCAAAAAATGAGCTGTTCCATACTCATTATATAATATTTAAAAACAAACCACATTAAATTTATGTCCCTCTTAATATCAAATTGTATTATATTAACAAAAATATTATATCCAAAAAAAAGTGAGTTTGGTCAGACTCTCTAAATCCTAGTTAAAACCTAATAACACATGAAGTGTCCCTTTTTCCTCCCGAATATTTTATAATTAAATTATCCAAAAAAAAATTATCATAAAGGTATTCACCTTATCATATGCATATGATCAGTTAACAGTAAATATAAAGTAATACGTAATACAAAAGGTCAAATAGTTAAACGACTTATCTTTACAGCACTATAAGTCCATAGGAAAAACTCCTCTTGGCACGGCTACATCAGTTTGTGGCTGTAAAGACGAATCCTGGTCACAAAAGCCACAACCAGTCACTGGTCTATGGGTGACAGCAAAATCCACGGGTTTGCTAACTATGTATCTAAGGATTCTGTTACTAGTATCCTTGAGGGAATATTCTCAAGAGAATATCCTCAAGTAAAGTGAAATTAATATTTTCACGTGACGGAATATGGAGCTCGCAGCACGCCAAACTCTTCCTTTTTATATGGAACTCTTATAAATGAATATTGATTTTATTATACAAAATTTACTTATTATTATTTTTATTAATGAATTATATTCTTCCCCAAATTATTTTCCTTGCTCCAATTCCGTCACTTTAAAGGTGAACAATTTCACCGGTTGGCGTGGCTGCGTTGACGAGTTCAGACCAAAACTAACCGCTTCGCTTCCGCACAAAATCGATCTTCCTTTCAAAGCGATAACAGCGCGTGTGGGGGAAAATGTCGATTCAAAATCGATCGTAGGCGGGTAATAAAAATTTCTTGAGGGGTTTAAATTGGACTAGTCAGTAGCGTAAACGCTACATTCTCCCTCATCTCCAGCAAAAAAAAAAAGGAACTTTTTTTTTTTGTGGCAGAACGATCTAACGCTGGGTCGACAATGAACGTTGATACGTTAAAATTGAACATTTTCCTCACCAGTCAACCATTTGCTCAGGAATTGGAACAAAATCAAGGACGAAATAAAAATATGGAACGAAGAATATGAGACGAAGTCATACATTTTTTTTTAATGCGATAATGTATGTTAATTTAGTATAAACCAAAGATTAAAAAAAATATATACATTTTAAGTTTAATTCTATAACATTACAGATCAAGTTAACTTTTAACACTACTTATCTACATTCTCAAGTATTAGTAAAAACAACCATCGTTAAAACTACATTATATATGTGTATTAACAACCCCTAACACAATATCTCCAAGAACCATTCATAACAACGAAATTCAAACAAAGTCCTATGAACTTTACCCAACGTTGACACTAGAGCGACCCGATTCTATTCGTCACCATAGAGTTCAATGAGGGCCTAATTACTCAGAACTAGTTGAAACTACAAACCTAAACATATATATGGTTCGGGATATCAACAACAAGGTAAAAGATAATTCAATACACCTACTTGATTTAGCAGCGGTAGGAAAACACACAATCGGTAAAGGCACAAGCCTAGATACTAGCAAGCCCACTATACTCATGGTATAGGGTATGCTAAAAAAAAGGTAAGTAAGATAAATGCAATCCTAACTCATTGTTTTGTATTGGATTGCCGTAGTTTTGATATAAATTAAATCCGTTCGATTTTTGTGGACTGTATATTTTTCTAATTTACAAATAATACTGTATCCTAACTAACAAATCAAAAAGAACTCTAAAATCTAAACTGTCTGTTTACGTCGCCATCGTGGATCTCTCTCTCCTCGTTGACACTTGCTCACGAGTCGGCGCGTGGATGCCGCGCACAGAGTCGGCCTTGCTACACTGTTCATGCCGCCCCCCTTGAAAGGCTGAAGTAACACATGCCTTTCAACAGACTAAACTTGTGTCAGTACTATATCAGCGGACGAGCTAATTGTCACTAATCGGTAAAACACATAATTTCGCGCATGCTCTTTTGAATGTACCGTGAGCAGTACGAACACACACAACGCGCACTATCCCGTCGCTGCCCGGATATACATCGACTACTCTTCCTAGTTCCCATTTCATTGGAGGAAGTTTGTCATCTTTAAGAATAACCATCGAGCCGTTTTGGATGTTAGGACTTGCTGCTTTCCATTTTGTACGTTGCTGAAGAGATGACAAGTATTCTCGCGACCATCTAGCCCAAAAATGTTGAATAACTTGCGTAAGGTGATGATATCGCTTGAGTTTGTTTGCATGGACATCTGTGAGATCCTCTTGTGGTACAGCCATTAATGAATCTCCAATTAAAAAATGTCCTGGCGTGAGTACACCAAGGTCAAGTGGATCATTGGATAATGGTAAGAGAGGTCGTGAATTTAAACATGACTCAACCTGTGTCAGAAGAGTATACATCTCATCATATGTGTATTTGTTTTCCCCCAATACCCTTTTTAAATGATATTTTACAGACTTAATAGTTGATTCCCATACCCCGCCAAAATGAGGAGAGTGGGGAGGTATGAATTTCCAATTGATTTGGTGATCAGTAAAATGCTCAAGAAACTTTGACTTGATATTTGAATCACTTATAAATGAGTATAGTTCCTTCAAATGATTGTTTGCTCCCACAAAATTTGTAGCATTGTCTGAATACAAGTTTTGACAGAGACCCCTTCTAGCAACAAAACGTTTGAAACAATTTAAGAATGACTCTGTAGTTAACTCATAAACCAATTCAATATGAGTTGCCCTAGTTGCAAAGCAAGTGAATATACAAATGTAACTCTTAACAATTTTACAATTTCTTAAGTTGCTCGTTTTTAATTGAAAAGGACCCCCATAATCAATACCGCAATTAAGGAAAGGTCTGGATGCTACTACTCGTGATCTGGGTAGTTGACCCATTAGATTATTTATCGTAACTGGCCTTGCCCTAAAACATGTTATGCACTTGTGCAGAATATGTCTGATTGTATTACGCCCTGAAAGAACCCAAAATTTTAGCCGTAAAATAGATAATAAAGCTTGTTGTCCCATATGTAAATGTTTAAGATGATATGAAGTAACGATAAGCCGTGTAAGCACATGATTTTTTGGTAAGATAATTGGATGCTTTTGTGAAAATGGTAAATCTGAATTTTGTAAACGTCCACCAACTCTTAAAATACCTTCTGAATCTAAAAAAGGGTTTAATGAGATGAGACTGCTTGTCTTACATAATGAGCCTAATCCTTTTATTGTCGAAATGTCTGAACCAAATGTTTCCAATTGAGCCATTTTGATTAGAATTCTTAGTGCGCCCTCCCTTTCATCAACAGTAAGTATACCCCATTTACGTTCACTTATTGGCAATCTACAATTATTTATAAATCGCAGAATGTAAGCTGTGGTTTTTTGTAACTTATTAAGATTTGAAAATCTATCCCAAATTGTATGCAATGTTGTGACAATTAATGAAAATTTAACTGGCCTTCTATCTGGCACTTCCAAATTACTTAAGTCATTCATATTAAAATAAGGCCATTTCTCCTTATCTTCCATTAGCCATTTTGGACCATTCCACCA